TTTTCAAATGCTCACAAATATAACTGAACATTTATTATTTTAATTTACAAATATAAAAAATTCTAACATAATTATATACTCAAAGAATATCTAAGAAATCTATTATTAATTTTTAGATTAATATTATAGTAAAACATATAACAAGGTTGATATTTTGTATTACATTGTTATATAATAACCTTATTAAGTGCAATATTAGTGCACTATTAGTGCAAATATGTTTGAATAGTGCAAACACTATGTAACGATTCTATAAATAAATTCATATTTTGCAACACTAGTTATCTAGGTAGTCAATATTTATTAAACAATTATAAAATCTATGATTAATAATATATAAACAAAAATGAGTTTATGCATTTGTTAGAAAACATTTACTTGTATAGTGATAAACTAGTGTTGTATCATATGATTTAATTGGAAAAAGTGTTTTAACACTAGTTTTTTAAGAACTTTGTGTACACACTTGCATTAACTAGTAAATGGTACAACCACACAGGTATGTGAAAGTAACTAGTGCATTTTAGATAAAAGTTAAAAATATCTATTAAATTATTAATTAAACCTTGGTTAGTTCAATTAATAAGCGATACTTAAAATCTATATAAAGGTAATAACAAATGTTATAGAAAATATAATTTTTTATTTTTCGAATTTTATAATACAAAAATATACAATTTAATTATGTTTATCAAGTTATTAAGTTATTTAGCATGCTCAATAATCGCATTTCAAAAAGACAGTATTGTGCCGGATGTACTGGATACTTGTCCATTGAATACAGCCATGGTATAATTAACTAAATATAAATTTGTCTATTTAATTAAATATTTGAAACTTAACTTATTTTATTTATATGAAATATTTATATAAAAAAATTAAAATATAAAAATAACAAATTGTATAAATTTAATTAATAATAATATAATTTTAATAATTACATAAAGGTTTATAATATGGGACCTCAAAACACTAATTATTAATTAGTATTTAAATTAAATTGTAATTTTATAATAAAAATTTAAATTAAATTATATTTTAATATCTAATAACAAACTAGGTCATATTCCCGAGTAACGTTACTGTAAACCTCGGCAATGAGCTCACACCTACTCAAGTGAAGGACGAACCTCATGTTGAATGGCCAGTAACACCAGGCTCATTATATACACTGGCAATGGTAGACCCTGATGCACCCAGTCATGTATCGCCATTATTACGCAGTATTAAGCACTGGTTGGTTGTGAACATACCGGACGGGGATCTAAAATCAGGCCAAATATTAGCCGGGTTTATAAGCTCAGGGCCACCCAAGGGGTCGGGTATTCATCGATATGTTATACTCGTATACAAACAGTCCAAACGTATTGAGGGGCTGACCAGGGATGACACAATCGAGCATAGGTTGAATTTTAATATAACCGAGTTTGCTCATAAATATGAGCTTGGTGAGCCCGTGTCCGGTAATTTTTACCACGCTCAATGGGATGAGTACGTGGATATACATAATGTAGACATGTATTTCCGTAGTAGTGGACTTGTACCTGATGTTATCGATGTTAGCCCCAGGGAACAGGTTAAGGTATGTATAATTAATTATAAGTAATATATTATTAATTTAAACTGTAACTTTAGATTTAAACAAAGTTAAATCAACCAAATCAAAATTAAGTTAGATTTAATGGCCCTGTATGGCACTTCGATTTATTACTGTTCATTTTAATAAATTTACAAAATTTATTAATTTAGAGAATAGATTAACTTTTAGAAATTATAAATTAAAAGTTAATTTTATCTTTCATCAAGATGTAAAAATAATTATTATTTTGTTTAAAATTATATTATTTAATTATTACATTAGATGAGCAATATAAAGATTTATAACACAAATTAACTTTTTATATACACCACAACAAAATTATTATATTTATAAGAAACTGTTTGATTACACATTAATAAAAATTAGATTTATTAATATTTATTAACAATTAAATTACTACCAGGTGACTTTCCCGGAAAATATAACCATAAGTCTGGGCAATGAAATTACCCCTGCTGAAGCCAGTAAGGAACCACACGTTGAATGGGCACCAGAGCAAAACGCCCTGTACACTTTGGCCATGGTAGATCCAGATGCTCCCAGTCGTGTCACTCCCGTTTGGCGTAGTTATAAACATTGGTTGGTGATGAACATACCCGCGGGACAGGTATCCGGGGGTGATATCGTTGCCGGGTATACGGGACCGGCCCCACCAGAGGGCACTGGTCTACACCGGTATGCGATACTTATATACCAACAACCGGACGGCCATATAGACCCTCCACCTCGGGATGACTCACTCGAACATCGGCCATATTTTAGTATTGAAGACTTTGCAAGGAATTATACCCTGGGTGAACCGGTAGCTGGTAATTTTTTCCTAGCTCAGCATCAAAAATTAATCTATTAAAATATAATATTAGTTTTTAGAATATTTTAAAACTGTAATTGAAACTTTGTTAATTATTGAAATGTATTGCTTTAAA